AATAATTAAGAGATAAGAGATAATTAAGAAATGGGGAATACCCCGGGTAAATCAGAGTTAAAGAGGTTGTTGTAAGAAACAGTTGTCTGGTTTTAAATCTAATGTTTTCCTTTCTAAGGAAAGGTTGCTTACACATTTTTAGAGGGCTCCGGGCTAGGAGCGGGAGAACTGCTCAAATTTTCTCAAATTTTTGGAACAATAGCTCAACTATACCAGATTCAAAACAATCTATTTAGGACCTAAAGAAGTATAGCTAAATTTTGGGATGGTATGTTGCCTAATTTTCTAAAATTCCAGACTGTGCCAATTTACATTTCCACCAATCATGGAAAGGTTTCTCTTAAATGTAAATTATGAGCAATGGTTGATCTTGGTCATGTCATTTAAAATAAGATGAAGTCTCAAAAGTTATTTTGATTCACATTTCTCCTATGATTAAAGATGTCATGCTTAAGGATTTTTTAAATATCTTTCAGTCATTTTTAAGTTTGTCCATTGAGAGTTTTCAGTTTAGATTTGTTGCATATATTTTAATTTATTTAATTGCTATTTGGGGGACTAATTTATGGAGTCCTAATGTTTTCTGTATGGATTGATGACTGACAAAGATTTCCACATCTGTAGCCAGATATGTCGATCCTATTAATTATTTCTCAAAATGTTGGCGGGAGGCAATGTGCCCCCATAAGGACAACAATTTTAATAATTCTATCCAGTTATGTAAGTGCTCACATACTGGATCAGATAATAATTTTCTGCCCCTGGAAAAGTTCCAGGCGGAGTTGATCCTAAAAGATATTTTGAGGCTGATGGTTCAGCCCAGTTCAAGACCTGCTACAATTGTGCAGGCAAATAAAAAATAATATTTTGAGGTTGGCTAATTCAGGCCAATGTTCAGGCCAGTTGCAATGGCACAGGCCAATAAAATTTGCTCTTTGGAGCAGAGACCTGTAGGTCTCTAAGTTCAAGACCAGCCGACGTCAATACTGGCTGAGCTAAGTTTTGTTCTGAGTATTTGTTACTTCCAATATGTAACATGGTCCAGTTCATGCATTAATTTGGGGTAGAGGAGCTGTTTGTGTGTTTCCACAGGATGCAAAGCAATCCATTTGGGTCCCTGAACGTCTGGTGTGGACCGTGGATTCCTCTATTCAGAGACCTGAGGACAAGGCGAGATCAAGAGACTCTGCGGGCGCGGCAGAGGCAGCGAGGAAGATGGCAGATTCCTGAGAGATGATCCAGCGCCTGCCTTTGCCCCTTTCCCAGCTTCTTATCTTTGCTCTGCCTTGATCTGCCTGTTTAGCCAAGGCTGCTCTACCCCCTGAGGGGAAGCAGCTACTTTCCCTACCCTAGATTGCAGCATTGAGTACACGCGGCGAGAACCCTGCCGGTCAGACAGAAATACCATGGACATTCGAATTAATTTAAATTCTTGATTGGTTGCTTTTGTTGATCTTTACAAACTGGGTGTGGATTTTGACCTCTGCTGGTCGCTGCTTAAGATTTTGCTGCTTTTCTCAGACCCCGGAATACAAAATTGCTAATTGGCTTTAATTTAGTTTGATTAGTCATTCCAGGGGTCCCATTTGCCGGTGCCGTAGCCTTACTCAAACGGGCTCTATTCAGAGCAAAACGTTTCAGACACTGTGCAAGCACAGTCTCTTCCAGGATTTCTCATGTGTATGCTGGAACATTTTCACCTGGCCAATGGCTTCAGGTCCGCCACGGCCTGGCCCTAGTAGGCATTCACCTCGGAGTATCTTTCAGCATAAATATGGCTGGATTCAATGTATGACTAGTAAGCAATGACGGGTTTATTGCACGGGGGGGGGGGTGGTCTCGCCTAAGACAAGGGGTGCGTTTGGACCTGAACACATTCCCGTAGACGGGTTTAGGGACCTAACCCAACGACCGACACGCCTAAGACAGCTGCTAGTCATCATATTTTATATATATTTAAAGGGAGACTTGTAGGTACACAGGTCCCCATTTTTCCCGAGGCGCTATGCAGGGCTGTTCTGCTTCCTGGTTCCACTGCATCAGCTTGAGGGTGTAGCATAGAACTGCCCTCTCCTGTTATGTTAATATCACCTACGGCCCAAGGGTGTAGCTCAGAGAGAACTCTTCTGTCCTGGTAATTCCACCTGCAAGCAAGGTTCTCGCCCGCAGGCAAGGTTCCTGGGTCAGCTTTTCTCTGAGCCTGAGCACGCCCACCTGGCTTCCTCTTTTCTCTGTTCAGCTGCTCTCTGACCTTGGGTGCGGCCCCCTGACTTTTCTCTTTCCTTGATCCTGATGGGGGGCTGGTGTCCTTTTGCCCCACAGTATATATACCCGACTTATGCTTAATAAAACTGCCATTTGCCACTTGCTCTTTGGCAGATGAGCCGGTCTCTTTGTGTGTGTGTCGTCTGTTCAAACCCCTAGGACATGCGTCCGTTCTCGTGGGCTCGAGTCAGGAAAGCGCGCGCCTGTTTCGAGGTTCGGGTGTCCACAGAAAAGTGCGGAAGCTTACAAAGGTCTGTACTCCATTTTTTAATTGGACTATTTGTTATTTTGATGACCAATTTCTTGAGTTCTTTGTATATTTTGGAGGTCAACCCTCTGTCCAATGTGAGGTTGGTTAAGATCTTTTCCCATTCTGTAGGCTGCCATTTTGTCTTGTTGACTGTGTCCTTTGTTTTACAGAAGCTTCTCAGTTTTGAGAGGTCCCATTTATTAATTGTTTTTCTCAGTGTCTGTACTACTGGTGTTATATTTAGGAAGTGGTCTCCTGTGCCAATGTCCAAACAGGAATTTTTTTTTGAAAGTAATTTTATTAAATTATAAAAGTTTCCATTTCCGCCCCTCTTCCCAACACCCTCCCACTCCCCCCACTCCCTCTCCTCCTCCCTCTTCGTCCCTTAGGGCAGTCAGGGTTTCCTGCCCTGTGTGAAGTTCAAGTTCCTTCCCCCTCCCTCCAGGTCCAGGAAGGTGAGTATCCAAACAGACTGGATCCCCAAAATCCAGTATATGCAGAGGAAACAAGTCCCAGTGTCATAGTCAATGGCTTTTCAGAAAGACTTCGGGCCAGCCACATTCAGAGAATCCGGCCACATTCAGAGAATCTGGTTAGATCACGTCCTCGTTCAGTCCCAGTCCAACTGGCTTTGGTAAACTCTCATTAGATCCATCCCCTTGTATCAGTGGGTGATAGCATCCCTCGCAGTCCTTATTTCCTTTTTCATTTTCTTCGTCCTTCTGCTCCTCATTTGGACCTTGGGGTGCTCAGTCCGGTGCTCCAATGTGGGTCTCTGTCTGTATCGCCATCCTTCGCCAGATGAAGGATCTATGGTGATAAGCAAAATATTCATCAGTATGGTTATGGGCCAAGGCCGGTTCAGGCACCCTCTCCTCTGTCCAGAGAACAATCTGGGGATCTCTCCTTGGACCTGGGATCCCATATATAATCAAGTCTCCTGTAAACCCTAAAATGACTCCCTTAGTTGAAATATATTCTTCCCTGATCCCATATTCATCCTTCCTCCCTCCCCCCCATCCCGGTCCACCGAGCTTTCCCCATTCCTCCCCTTCTCCCTTCTCTCTAACCCTCTCCCCTTCCAACAACCCTCCCACCCACCCCCCCCATGCACCCGAGGTTACCTGGGACTCTTGTCTATTTCCTACCTCCTGGCGGATAGCTAAATAATCTTCATCAGGTTCATCTTCTTATTTAGCTTCTCTAGGATCACTAATAATAGGCTCAAAGACCTTTAATTATGGTTAGAATCCACTTATGAGTGAATACATACCGTGTTCCTCTTTTTGGGTCTGGCTTACCTCACTCAGTAAAGCGTTTTCTATTTCCATCCATTTGCATGCAAAATTCAAGATGTCATTGTTTTTTTACCGCTGAGTAAAACTCTAATGTGTATATGTTCCACACCTTTTTTAACCATTCTTCTATTGAGGGGCACCTAGGCTGTTTCCAGGTTCTGGCTATTACAAATAGTGCTGCTATGAACATAGTAGAACAAATGCCTTTGTATTATGTTAGGGAATCTCTAGGGTATATTCCCAAGAGTGGAATTGCTGGGTCCTGAGGGAGGTTGACTCCCAGTTTCCTGAGAAACTGCCACACTGATTTCCACAGTGGCTGCACAAGCCAAACAGGAATATTTAAAAGAGATCTTCTAACTAATGCCTCAGATTCTCCTACAGGCAAATGTCATTGTACTTTTTTTTTAAGAGTGGAAATATATGCCTGGGCATCGGTGGCACACGCCTTTAATCCTAGCACTTGGGAGGCAGAGGCAGGCAGATCTCTGTGAGCAGGAACTGGTCTACAGAGCTAGTTCCAGCACAGCTAGGCTGTTACACAAAGAAACCCTGTCCCCGGGGTGAATGGGGGTGAAGAGTGGGAATATTATGTGCCAAATGTGTTAAATATTTCTAGTACAGGGCATGATAAAAATATTCATTAATCACTTGATTGTTCAGTATTTTTCCCCAATGCTTCAAGTTTGTTGTATATGTAGGATGTGTGCCCCAGTGTGTGTTTATGCTGGCCTATGAGTATCATGGCATATGTGTAGGGGTCAGAAAACAGCCTCAATTGTGAGTCCTATGTGGCCTTCCACCTTGCTTGAGGCAGGTTCTTTGTGTTTGTTGCTGTGCTGTATATTAGCAGGAGTTTCCATAGATTTGCCTAGCTCCACCTTCCTTCTCAGTATAGGGGCACTGGGATTTCAGATTGGAGGTACTAAATCCAGTTTTACATAGGTTCTTAAGATTTGAATGCTGGTCCTTACACGTATGCAGCAAGCACTTTACTCACTGAGCGAGATCCCCAGTCCCACAAGTATATTTTTAAAAAATCTGTGTTGCTGCTTTGTACAAGAAAGAAGGAAATGTAATAAACAAAAGACTGAGGAAGAAACGTGAACGTCAAGTAGAAGTTTGAAGGAAGCAAATAAGAAGTACACACTGAAAATGTTAAATATCTTTAATGTGTGATACATTTACTTTTACGTACTCACATAGGAGCACAGTAAGATTTGGTGGAGCTCCTGTATGAACTAGAATTTGGTCTAAATGAGTAGGGAGAAGTTAGCACTGGGTGTCTTCATATTAGGCGGACCTGCGGGCAGAGCTACCTTTAAGGAAATAGACATCTGCACCTGCCAGGTGCAGCAAGGGAAACACTGAGGCACTCAAGTCTTGGGGTGTGGCTTTATCCTTCAGATTCTTTCATTTTGATATCTGCTGCCTCTAGCAATCATTGTCCAGCCTCTTTTACTTCAATACACACTATACTTCCTTTGGTTCTACTTAGCAACTTGAGTAGAGTCCCATTCAACCATTGCAAAAAAGTACCTAATACTTGAGAGAAATTTAAAAAGTAAAGAAATACAATGGCTAATTTTTCCTGGATGTTAGATGCCAAGCACCCTAATTCATTATTTAATCCTTGAAACTGAATATATACTGTAATTGTTCCCATTTTACCCACTGAGCAAGCAGGACTGTAGGAGATCATTACAGGTACTGCATAGCAGAAGCAAAACTTGAAACCATACTCCATAACCCACACCTATAATAATCATTGATCTGTATAGTTTCATGAAAAAAAAAGAAAAACCACACAATCCAAGAAAGAAATATAAAGTTCAAGGAACATTATGTAACAGTTTAAAACTCTGATCACAGTGTATCACCACCTTCACAGCTTTCCGTTCTGTTTCCAGCAGGTGATTCTGTTTTTAAGATGCTCACTGTGACCCAGTTTGTTAATTCTGTGACTCATGCATGCATTTCTATCTTCAGAAGTATAAAACATAAAATTCCTGCTTAATCACATATGAATAAGTATAATTTAGATCAGGTGTGGTAACAGATGTCTTTAATCCTAGTGTTCTGGAGGAAGTAACAGGCAGATCTCTGTGATTTTAAGGCCATTCTGATCTGTGTAGTGAGTTATGCACCAGCCAAAGACCTGTGTCAGAAAAAGAAGAGGAGGTTAATGACAAGGAATCTTTCTGTAAACACAAGAGTATGTTGCTGTTTGTTTTATCTATCCTCACCAGCAGGCTAACCAAGCATTCTATCTCTGGGCTATATTCCAAGCATATCGAGGGATAATACTGATGTGGGATTCCACTCTGTATGCTGTGAACCATTGGGGATTAAAGAAACTAGCTTAGTCTGTTGATAGGGCAGAACTTAGGTAGGTAGGGAAAACTCAACTGAATGCTGGGAGAAAGGAGGCAGAGTCAAGAAAGAAACCATGTGGTCACGCTGGAGACAGACGCTGGGAAATTTGCCAGTAAGCCACTGCCACATGGCTATACACAGATTAATGGAGATGGGTTAAATAAATATGTAAGTGCTAGCCAATAAGAAGCTAGAGCTTATGGACCAAGCAGTAATTTAAATAATATAGTTTCTGTGTGATTATTTCAGAAGTCTGGGTGGCTGGGAAACAAACAAGCAGTTCATTACAACAGATTGATGCCCATGTGACCAACTAAAATCCACTTAAAATCTAGAAAGTTTGGGAAGGAATCCTAGACACAAAATAATAGAATTAAGCATGGTTTGGTAGCAGCATTTTCTTAGGTGGGTTCTGTTTTCTAGAATCAAGCAGAGGCATGACTCCTTTAAGAGAGGTTTTCCCGATTCAGCTGTAAAGCAGAAAAAAAAAGCCATGCTGTTTTGAAAACTACAGCTTCCTGGGCCATGAACTCTGGCTCTTTCAGGAGACTGAGCATTTAAATGGAATTTGTAAGCAGCATGTTACAAACTGCTTAATGGTTCAACATATGGCTGCATACTTAGAACTGCAAGTATAGCTTGCAGAGGAGTGAACAAACATCTTCCATTATGTTGGACTGGGTGGGGCAAGCAGAAAGTGCTGTATATACCCTAGTAATGCCGCAGCTTAGGTTTTTAAGAAATGCTTAGCATTTTAAGAAGCAGTCCTAATCAGAAAGTAATTATCAATACAGAATAAAGACAAATTCAGATGGAAAAGACCTCTAAATGGGTTGGGTAAATGTATGTAGGCTTGGGAGTGTGAAGAAAAAGAATATAGATAGTTATAAAAAGAAGTAAATTTTTTTTTTTAAAAAGGTAAATTATTTAAAGAAACAGAGTACAGACGGTCATAGATATTGTTTATAAGTGTTTGTTTACATTTAACGGGGGATATGCTATAGAGATGAATACTTTGCATTGGCATGAATCTTGCTCTATTGGTACAAATTTGAGGTCAATTTTGTTACATGTATATTTCCGTTCTTGATTAAGGTGTTATGTTTGTGCAGCTTATTTAAAATGTAATGTATAATTGAGAAATATAGGTTAATAAATAATCATCTATAATAGTCAAGCTTATAGTCATATTATTTACATTTTTTGGATGTAAAGAGGTGTATTTCAGATGGATAGACATTTTTCCAACCTTTCAAAAAAACTACAGAATATGGCATTTAAAATATTTTAAGAACTTAACACTTTTCATGAAAATGAGACACATCTGCTCCTGATGGCACCAATCTACTTCAAGAGGAAGATGGGCATCAAAGAGGCTCCTTATGGAGTTGGTTAGCCATTTGGGCAAGAAACTGTTCTTGTCTGGACTGCTTGATGAACTGAACATGCAGGATTCACAGAAAATGACTGCTAGACTTGCCTAAAAATGAGACGATCCATTGGGGTTCCTGCTTCCTGAAAGAGTCTGCTAAACATTCTGCAGAACACAGAAGAAAGTGACTGACAAACTGCCAATATAGGTGGAACTGTCTTTGAAATTTCCTGCTTCATGGGAAAGTCTGCTGGATGCTATGAGCTAGTAGGCTGAAGATAGATGCCCCAATGGTACAGAAGAACTTTGGATATCTGTCCAGGCAGCAAGAAGTCTCTGCTAATTCTAGAGTTTTGGAAGTTGCTTACAATGCACTTCCTGTTTACTTAGGTAATATTATATCCTTCTGGAGTCTTTGATGAAGTTGAAGAATTGATAGTTATAGTTTTCCTTAGTTATGATAAAAGATAAAATAGATATAAATACTGTAACTGTAATTATTGCTGGATACCTGTTTTGTTATATGTAATTTTACTATGTTAAAGTTAAAACCTCCCTTTTCATTTAAACAGAAAAGGGGAGGTGATGTGGGATTCCCCTCTGTATACTATGAATATCATTGGTGAATGAAAACTGGCCTGTTGATAGGGCAGAACTTAGGTAGGTGGGGAAAACTCAACTGAATGCTGGGAGAAAAGAGGCAGAGTCAAGAGAAGCCATCTAGCCCTGCTGGAGACAGACTTTGGGAACTTTGCTGATAAGCCACTGCCACATGGCAATACACAGATTAATAGAGGTAGGTTAAATTAATATACAAGAACTAACCAATAAGAAGCTAGAGCTAATGGGCCAAGGAGTGATTTAAATAATATAGTTTCTGTGCGATTGTTTCAGAAGTCTAGGTGGCCAGGAAATGAACAAGCAGTTTGTTACAACAAAATCCCCACAAAAAAAATTTAAAAAAATAAAATCTTTTTAACAAGTGTCTCACAAAGTTGTCCAAGCCAGTGTTGAACTTTCTGAAGTCTACAGGCACTACTTGGACTTGCAATCCTTCTGCCTCAGTGTGGTGTGTTTCTGGGTTTATTTTTATATCTGGCATCATACCATTTAATGCTTGAATAATATGTGTGTATTCTGGGCTGTAATGTTAAAGTATTTATTGCCCTAGGACTCAGAAAACATACTTGTTCTTACAATTGCTATTGTTTGTATCTAGAATATTCCCCCAAAGTCCAGTGTTAAAGGATTAATCCTCATCAAGAGATGGAGCGTAGTAAAAGTTCTTAGGTCACTAATTGTCTGCAAAGGGAAATATGGGACACTTAGACCTGTAGGAATTTTCAGAACTTAATATAGAAAATATCTATAGAACAGGTAATAGAAGGAAAAATAAGATCATTCTAACAATGGAGCTGAGATGTGGTTTCAATGAAAAGAAGCCATGTAACAGAGATTGGGAGTGAGGGAGAGATGTCAGTTAAATGAAGCTTTCAGGATAGTCCTAATCCAGAGAGAATGATGGCCATATAAGAAAAGGAAGACTGTCTCTTCTGTGAGGACACTAGAAGAAGACAACCATCTGCTAACAAAAAAAAAGGTCTCCAGCAGGAACCATCTCTGTGGGACCTCCATGCTGTTCTCTGGTAGCCAGAAACATGAGAAATAGTTCCTGCTGTGTAGACGTCACACTCTGGCAGTCAAATAGAAGCATACCTGTTAAAAATGGTCTGGCTCACAATTCCTTTTTTTTTTAATTAAAAGAAAAATTCTTACTATTTTATGTGGATGAGTATTTGCCTGCAGGTATGTCTGTGCACCGTGTACATGCTTGGTGCCCATGGAGGCCAGAAGAGAGTTTCAGATTTTCTGGAACTAGAGTTACAGATAGTTGTGAGTCACCATGCCATGTTGGTGCTAGAAACTGAACCTGGTCCTTGGGAAGAACAAACAGTTCCCCTAACTGCTGTGCCAACTATGGACAGCCCCTGGCTCCTAATTCTTAAACCCATCGCTATATCTCCCTGCTTTTTCCTACAGACTTGACATTTCTTCTTTCTGTTCCACTGTACTACCTCTCCTATATTATATTTGTGTTATTTTTACTTTATTTTATTCACTTGTTTATTTCAAGATGGGGTCTTGCTGTGTTGCTCAGACTGGTCTCAAACTACTGTGCTCAAGTGATCTCCTGCCTCAGCCTTCTAACTGTTAGAACTCATAGGGATGCCAGCACTTACAGTCATTTTTAAAAATTAGATATACCTAGAATCATATATATCTATACATATAAATATATCTTAGCCTTGAAAGGTTATCAGAGCTTAATTTTTAAAGACATATAAGACAGTAAGTGAACCTCATTGAAGGCATCTTAAATTAAATAATGAACAATATATTATATTATAGTTACTTTCATGACTTGTGGGTCCTTCTCCCTCATTAAGCAAAGCTGTGGTTTACTCATTTGTCGCTACTACACAGTTTTTTGATGCACTTTACAAATGTATTTAATTAATTTGAAATAGGAATGATATCTGCCAGACAAAGTGATGAGTGGTGGGATGTAGGTTCTAATGTCACCAAAGCTTTGACTGTCCCTAAGACCTTAGTGGCCTGGGGAAATAAAGTCAGTGTTTTTCCAGATATATCCTTAATCAAATTCTATCTGGCCCTAAATGGCTATATAATATTTATCTCTAGCAATTAAGCCAGCCTATCTCTTTTCTATTTGGCAAATCATTACATATATAAGTCACCCTTTATATCAGATTCTAGAAATGTTTAGTGAAATAGTTTTATTGGGTCAAATTAAAATAGTTTAAAATTTTGATTTTGAAAATTCAGATACAATTACATGTAAATTGTGAACTGTAGATAGTTTTTTACCCTCGGAGGAATTGATTTTGGTCTGTATTTTTTTTTCTCTTTAATTTTGAATGGAATTTTAGTAGATAACACAACTTAGAAAGAAAAGCAATTGTCCATCTGTACCCTTTGGGTTTGCAGTCAGCACCCCACTGCTCAGATAATGGCCTGGCTGGATTTCTGTTCCTGCCAGCACTTGGCCACAGACACCAAATGTATGTTTCAACTAATTCTCTATCATTCTATTTACCAATAAAGACTTGGAAGCCAGATGTGGTGGTGAAGACCTGCTAGATCAGAGAAGCCAAAAAGAACCAGCTGACCTTTTTGGCCAGAAGACCCATGCAGAAACGCATCTCTCCACTAGTCCCAAACCAAAAAGACTGAGAATCTCTACGTATCTCCCTGCTCCTTTTTGTGCATCCCTCTATCTGCATTCCTGGGTCCTTTGTACTCTCCATGGTTCTGTCCCCTGATACAACGTTAATTTATTTAAAATGTCTTGGGGATTCACAGTATGGTAAATATCCTGCATCAGAATTGTGTTGGAATTTTAATGCCAATTGCACTGAATCTGTAGATTGATTTTGGTAAGATAGCCTGATCCATGAACATGGAAGATCTTTCATTTCCATCTTCTGATATCTTCTTTAATTTCTTTTTTCAAAGATGTAACATTTCAATCATACAAGTCTTTCACTTGCTTGGTTAGAGTTAATCCAAGATATTTAATATTATTTGAGATTATTGTGAAGGGTGTTGATTCCTTGATTTCATTCCTGGACAGTTTATCATATGTGCATGGAAGGGCTGATGATTTTGTGAGATAATTTTGTATTCAGCTACTTTGCTAAAAATGTTTATCAGTTGTAGGAATTTCCTGGCAGAATGTTTTGGGTTACTTATGTATACTCTCACATTGCCCACAAATATAAATATTTCAACTTCTTTTCAATTAGTATCCCTTATAGCTATCTTATTATTCTAAGGCTTTAAATATTATTTTGAATAGATATGGAGAGAGTGGACAATCTTGAATTGTTTCTGATTTAAGTGGAATGACTATGAATCTCTCTCCATTTAAGTTGATATTGGTTAAGGGCTTGCTGTAAACTACCTTTATTATGTTGAGATATGTCCCTTGGAACCTTAATTTCTCTCAGATTTTTATCATGAAGAGGTGTTAGATTTTGTCAATGGCCTTTTCTGCATCTAAAGAGATGATCATGTGTTTTTTGTTTTTCAGTTTGTTTGTATGGTAGATTACATTTATCAATTTATATATGTTGAAACAGTCCCGAATTTCTGGGATGAAGGCTTGTTGATTATGATTGATATTTTTGGTCTGTTTTTCAATTCAGTTTGCAAATATTTTATTGAAAACATTTACATTTATGCTCATAACGGAAATTAGTTGTAATCCTCTTTCTCTGTCTAATCTGTGTGGTTTGGGTGTCAGGGTAACTGTGGCCTCATAAACTGAATTGAGAAATGTTTCTTCTGTTTCTATTTAACAATAATTTTAGAAGTATTAGCTTTAACTCTTCCTTGAAAAAACTTGCAGAATTATGCATTAATACCATCTGGCCCTGAGCTTTTTTTTGTGAGGGGGGTTAAAAACTTTTAATGACTGTTTCTATTTCTCCAGGGGTTATATATCTGTTGAAATTGCTTATTTGATATTGATTTAACTTTGGTAATATATTTCCAATTTGGTGGAGTACAGGTTTTTAATGTATGTCCTTATGATTCTTTGGATTTCTTCAGTGTCTATTGTTATATCCCCCTTTTCATCTCTAATTTTATTAATTTGGATATCCCATCTTTTGCCTTTTAGTTAATTTGGATAAAAAAATCTTATTAATTTTTTTCAAAGAATTCACTCTATTTTATTGATTCTTTGTATTTTGGGGTTTTTCTTGTGGGGGAGTTGTATTTTATTGATTTTATCCCAAAGTTTTACTTTTATTTCTTGCCATTTAACTCCTTTTGGGTATGATTTCTCTTGCTCTATGACTTTCCAGAATTAATATCACTTGCCATTTAGAGCTACTTCCTGTGCACCATAAGTTCAGAACTGTTGCATATTCATTTTCACTTAATTCTAGAAAGTCTTTCATCTCTTTTTTAATTTTTGTCTTGACCCATTTTTCATTCCATGGTGCGTTATACAGTTTGTCCATTGATTTGTAAACATTCTGTTGTTTCTGTTGTTGTTAACCAACTTTAATCTGATGGTCAGATAGCATGTGGGAAGTTAGTTCAATATTCTTGCACCTGTTGAGTCTTGCTCTATGTCTGAATATGTGGTCAATTCTGGAGAAAGTTCTTTTTATCTTTGAGTGAAATGTTCTGTAAATATCTGTTAGGCACATTTTGTTTATAATGTGAATTAACTTCAGCATTTCTCTGTTTAGTTTTTGTCTGGCTGACCTACCTATTGGCAAGAGTGGAGTAATGAAGTCTTCCACTATCAGTGTGTAAGGGTCAATATGTGATTTAAAGCTGCAGAAGTTTTTTTTTTTCTTTATGAACTTGGGCTCTCTTGTGTTTGGTGCATAAATGTTAAGAATTTGTTGGGCAGTGGTGGTGCAAGCTTTTCATCCACCACTCGGGAGACAGAGACAGGCAGATCTCTGTGAGTTTGAGGCCAACCTGGTCTACAAAGTGAATTCCAGGACTGACTCCATAGCTACTGAGAAACCCTGTCTCGAAACGCACACACACACACACACACACACACACACACACACAAAGCAAACAAAAAAAAATTTTAGTGACCTCTTAGTTGATTTCACTTTTGATGAGTATGTATTATCCTTCCCTATGTCTTCTGATTACTTTTGATTTGAAGTTTATTTTGTCATATATTAAAATGGCTAGTCATGCTTGTTTTGTAGGTTCATTTGCTTAAAATAAGTTTTGTAAATGGAGATTGCTCATTCATTTCCCGGGCACCTGAATTTGATCCCTCAGCACCAATGTACAAAGCTTGGGCAAGTGATACCCACATAAAATTTTGGTAGCATGGCAACACCCTCCTACAAAGCATCTCTGGGGAGGAAAAGACATAAATACCCCTGGGGGCTGCTAGCCAGTCAGTCTAGTCAGATTGGTGATCTATGGGTTCAGGGAGAGAACTTATCTCAATAACTAAGAAGGAATGAAATTGAGGAAGGCACCTTAGATGTCCACAAACATGTGCAAACACACACACATACACAAATTGTGTACCATAAAATTCACAAATAATAATTATATAATCAAATTTCAACCAGTATCTAGCTTAACCTCTCCCATAAAGTTATGACATAAATTGAGGAATAGTCCCATCATTTTAAAAGCTCCCAGCCACTTCCGTGGTGAAATTCCTCCCACCCCAGGCCCTGGTTTCACTGATTCTTTTGTTTTTGGTAGCAGAGTCACGTGATTATAGTCTTTTGTGTCTGTGATCTAGCATAATATTTTGGAAACATTCTATCAGGAGTTCAAAACTTTCTTTCTTATTACTGAGCTCGATGCAATGATATGACTATACCAAAATTTAAATGCCTACTGGCATTAGAGTTTCCAGATTTTGTTTATTATAAATTAAATTGCTATAAATTTTGAAGTCCAATTCTATGTTTTAGTCTACAGTATATTTAGTAAAAATTTAGCAAACAAATATACTATATTGAGTAAATACCTTGGATTGGGGTTAGACTTCATAGTACATCTTTAAGTTCATAAGAAATTTCAGAATTGCTTCTTCAGAGTCACTGTACACATTTACATTCTCATTAGTGATGTATAAGAATTCTTGTTCCTTCAAATCTTCATCAACATTTAGTTCTTGTCAGCCTCTCAGCTCTTAAATTGTTAGTTTTCTAGAGTTCTACCTAAGAAAGTTTAGACCAACCTAAGGGCCCAGATTTTTCCCTTTTTATTTCTTCTTAGAATTTTTTTTGAAAGATGTGTTTTATTTATGAGTGCATGTATGTGCAACTGCACACAGGCCAGAAGTGCTGGATCCATTTCTGAGCAACCTGGAACTGAGAACTCAGGTCATCAAAAAGAACAATAAACATGCTTAACTATCTATCTCTTCAGCTGCTTTCTTAGAAGTCTTAGAGTCTCACTCTAGGCCTGTTTTTGTCTCCACTTATGACAATCCTGAAACAATAGGTTTTGCAGAGCAAAAATGAACTTATTTGCAAGATGGTAAAGTGTGGAAGTGGGAAAGTTAAGTCTGAAATCAACTTCTCTAAGGAGTTCGGTTCTACATCTGAGGAAGGGGCAGCGTGGGTTAGGTGTAGGGAAGGTAGTCAGCACACGTGTGCAGTCTGATTCCATTGCTTCTCACAGGAGGTGTGCTCAGAAAATGTCAGCCTTAACATAACCTGAAGAGCAAGCTTTGGTCCTGACCCTACTCACTGCACTTTTGCACGGGCCTACAAAGTGGCCTTCAGGATGCTGAAGGCAACTATTGCTATCACTTACATGTCAAAGGTATTATTCACAGCAAAGCTAGCAGGAGTCTAATACGCTGCTTGACTGTGTTACTTTTTACAAATTTAACTAAATCGAGTCTGACTAGAAAGTTCATTACAACTGTCTTTTGGTCTCAGTTTTAACTGACGTACTGTATTTGTTCCTTTTCTGTTGCTCTGTGAAAACACCCTGAGAAAAGCATATACAGAAAGAAAGCCTTTATTGTGGCTTACAGTTCCAGATGGATTTATTTCACCAGGGGCGGGGGGACATAGCACATGAGATTCAGGACTGCAGAGGGAGGAAGACGCACAGAGGGCAAGAGCCCATGAGAGCAGAAAGTAGACGTGGAGCCAGGCTCTAAACCCACTTCCTAAAGGTTGCATATCCTCCCTCCTCCCGGACATATCGCCAGCTGAGGACCCCATGTTCAATACATGAGCCTGTGGGGGGACTTTTTTTTTTTTACCAAAATAACCATATACATACTCCAATCTGCTTCAGTTCTTTTTCCACCTGGATGGCCACTTGTCCAGCGTTCTTCATCCTTCTCCTGTGCCTTCAGACTGTCTTTTCTCTGGTGAATGACTATGACATCATCTGATCTTTTCTCACTCCAGACCCTCCTCACAAGGCTCAGATGTAGACAAGAACTATAACAAACAAACAGAAAAGGCTAAACTAGAAAGAAACTGTCTGCTGCAGTGAATTTTTCAATGACTGATCCATTGGTGGTTAAAATGGAAGTGGTCATTTGGCTGCTAGGATTGTTGGGTGGTGATGATTCACAGTTGGGTCTCTCCCTTAAATGTAGGAAACTAACTTGCCTAGAATAACCCTACTTAGTAATTGCAGACCTCCAGAAACTTCTCAGTGTCACAGAACGTCTTAGCTGCTGACCCTAGGTGTTACAACTCCGGACAGCTGAGCCAGTTGCAGGACAGCCCGTGAGAGACAGTTGTGCTTCTGATGGGAACAGAGCTGGCTGCTCCTCCTCCCTGCTGCCATGTGCTGTCTCCAGGACAATCCCCCACCCCATTCTAATGACTTCTTCCTAGGGAATCTTACCTGCCAGCATCACAACGCTGGTTAAGGCATTCCTCTGCTCAGAACCCCTTGTGGCAGACACAGTATTAACTCTGATGCTTGGCCCAGAAAGGTTGGCTGTGTTCCACGTCCTCCTCTGTGGTCACTGCAGGCTGTCCTTCAGCATACCACAGGTGTATAGCTGCACGTCTCCCATAGTTCCTTTGCACATGGCCTTCCTTCCACTCCCTCCACTCATTCTTCAGTTTAATAATTGATTATGAATGGTTATTTCCTCTGGGAGTATTTGTTGTGTTTGGCATTTTTTAAATTTTTTTTTCTTGTGTGGCAATGCTGTGAATTGATCCCAGGCCCCCTACATGCTAGACAAGTATGCTACACAGTTACGACCTGTTGGTTTTGTTGGTTTTGTTTTTATTTAGTCAGGGTCTTCCTATTGTGACCCTGGGCAAGGCTTGAACTTGGCAATCCTCCAGTCTCTGTTGCCTAAGTGTTAGAATTACACATGTGTGCTGTCACACTCATCTAGGACTATTTACATGATAGTTTGACTTCCAACATTGAAACTTGCATTTGCTGCTCATCTGCCCTCCTGCTGACTGGGGTGTCCTTGGGTAGAGATGTCCAATACCTAATGAGTCCCAATACATTTTTGAGAAATAAATGAGCCAATGAATTAATGAAAGAATGAATGAGTAAACTTGAAAATGTTTGAATGAAAGAATGAAATGAAATGAAATGAAATGAATAAATTTGAAAAGAGTAATTATTATAAGTAATGAGCATTTGTAAGTTTATGTTAGATGTGGTTCCGTGTCATAGCTGAAGTATTATATATTGTTGATAGAGTCTACATTTTTGTTTTGAATCATGAACTTTCAGGTTGACCAGTAACAAATCCAAGTACATACACTGAGGCAAAATGAAACCCAAGCCTCAGATCGTTAAAGCTGATTCTGTTTATTAAAACAAAGAAGAAAAAAGAGGAAAGGGGAGGGCTGGGGGGTCACTAATAACTTAAGGGGAAACTGGAAAAGATGAAGAGGGACTTGATTAAATAAGTTTGCCTAGAATGTTCTTTTTTTTCCCAAGAGGCTTATTTTTTATCTCACTTTTTCACTCTGTAAAATGTCAAATTAAACTGAAAAGTTAATTCTCATTACTGAAGATGGGATTCTAAAGGTATTAATTAAGGATTATTGGGCATTTAATTTTATCCCTTGCAGATAAAACTTTTTAATAATTAAATAATTATTTTTACATCTGTTTATTTATATAATTATACACTGTTACAGTTCAACATCAGGACTTTAAGCTCTGACTATTTTAATGTTAGAGCTGTTATTATTGGTATATTTAATCTTATGATTTGTCATATTAGTGTTCTTTTAAATAATTTTTCTCTTCAAAGACTAAATCCTTACCAGGAGAAGAGCCCGTCTTTCTGGAGTTTACTGTAGGGAGGTGTGGGACCGACTCTGGTAAAATGTGAAGTATCTGCTACTCTGTCAGTGGCTTTTCTTACCATGACAATAGTCTTTAGCATTGTTCGAAACAGATGAATTTATCTTTATAGAAATTGGACAGGTTGTTTACAAGAAAGTTTAGGGGAAAGTAGAGCAAAAATTATCTTTTTCTGGTAACACAGTGATGTGAAATAAGATAAAATGGGAAAAAAGTACTGTATGTTGAGCCTAAGAGAGACACACAAGAATCTAAATAGGAAGGAGAAAAAGCCAAGGTCTCCTGAGAAAATGGCGAGCATGGGGGTCACGGGAGAGGGTAGAAGTGGGGAGCGGAGGAAGAGAGGGGAGCAGAGAAAAATGTATAGCACAATAAAAACAATTAGAAAATCCGATGGTCATGTAAAAATACCTATCTTCACATGTCTCAGACATTGAAATATTCATGGACAAAGTTGGAATCATTGTCTTCCTGACAAATAAGGGCTAAGGACATTGCAAATTCTAAATTGCAAAAATATAGCCTGATAAGATAGAATACATTTTAAAATTAAGCAATTTTGTTTTCTGGACTTTAGACCCATATTTCTATATGGTATGGCAGCCAGGCTGTAAAGCCATAGGCCACACCTGAGATGGTCAGGTAACCTTCCAGATTGGCTGTCGCTACCTAACAAAAGGTCAGGATATTGTTTTGCACCTTCTTTGTAATTTGGAGGATGCTTGACAGAGATGCTGATTCAAGCCTCTGTGCCAGCTAGTACACAGAGCAGATAGGTAGTTTTGGGTGTGACTAAAAGCCATTCATCTGGTTACCTAGGAAACAGAATGCTAATGTATTTACCCCCAGTTAAGTATTGGTATAAAGGCTGTTTGGAGAATAAAGGAGGTGGAATTCTTCAGGATGTGAACTCAGGATATCATGAGGAACCATGGAGAATCTCCCTCCCGATAAAGCCATGTGAGTTGTGTCTTTATTCCCGCACCTCCATGCTGGTCCAGAAAGAGATAGTTTATGTTGGGGTCTGGTCAAGAGAAATAACTTATGGTCCGGGCTAGCACCGGACCCTGACCCTGGACTTGCTGCTTTTTTTTTAAATATTTTATTTGGACAACTCAACTAGATTTTTGATGAAAAAATTACTCTGATTCAGAGGTAATATTTAAAACACACACACACACATGCGCACTTAGGAAACAGCAGTGGAAGTCAGGGTGCTTGAAATGATGTCAAATATTAGTGAGTTATAAATATAATCGTGTGTTATTATGAAAATAAGGTTTTAATTTTTTGTATATGAATAGAAAGAATATTTGCATTGGAGTGCATTGCTTTCTAGCCACCCTGGTGGGCAGAGATTATTACTACCAGTTGTGTAATACAGGCATCCAGAGAGCCTAGAATTCCGTCTGTGAGGATTTAGAGCCACCGGAGTAGCACATGTTTTACATTTAAGAAGACAGGAGTTAGTTAGCAACTAATTAACTAATTTTGTAAGAAATACATGAGCCTTCAGTACTCTACCAATTTCTGGTAACCTCAAAATATGATAAACACTCTTCAGCAAGAAATCAAAATAAGAGGAACACCTGCAATGACTTAGTTCCAAAACAGAAAGATGTCACCGCAGAGTGTGGGTAGTGGTTGATATTTCTCCAGTATTCTGGTTTTGTCTTTTCTCTCCATCTTTTTCTAATCAGGACTATCTCTAAAGTCCAGTAATCCTTACACACTCTGAGATGTTGATCAAAACAAATCAGACCACGATCTGCCAATATCATATCCCAAAGTATCAAATTCCACTTTTAACCCTGAAAAGCATTTTAAGTAATTTTCCACTATACGCTTGATAGAATTTTCCCTTTGATCTATGCTTTTATTTTTGGTGAAAACTGCACAACTTTTAAAACAGCTAACAAAAATCAAAATAACAAAAAGTTGGGTTGTTTTTGTTTGTTTGTTTGTAAAAACTACAGAAGGCAGCACGGTCCTGAAGGTACACCGTGAAGAGAGCTGCCAGACACCACACTGCGGTGACGCAGTTGGTGTGTCTGTCCCTTGGTTGGCATCTTAGAGAACTGATGGTGATGATATCTATCTACATAAAGAATATGTGTTTGGTTTATTTATTTATAACTAAGACAGCCTACACCGAGGGAGGTGAGTCCAGGTTATTTACTGTATACTCTGACCTATTCTTTATAAAAAGGTATCAATAAATTTGGCAATTAGCCACTATCCTTCAGCTGCCATGCCAGCCAGTGTTCCCTCACTAAGATAACTTATAAGGAGGGAAGGTCCATCTGAGCTTACTGTCTCTATCTATGAATGGTTGACTCCACTGCCTTTGAGCTTGTGGGAGCTACATCAGGGTGGGAGCTGTGTATCTTATGACTTCCATGAGGTAAACAGAGAAGAAGCGGGGGGGGGGGTTAGAATTCCAGTGGTCCCTTTCAGAGCATGTCCACAGCAATCTAACTTCTTCCAATTAGGCCCTATCTCTTAAAGTTCTACAACCTTCCTCCTTTCACCAGTATTATGGGCCAGGGACCATGTCTTTGGGGGATATTTCAATTGAATTCACAGCAGCTGCTTTAGAGAAATGTGATGCAGTCATTTGAAGCCTGTTGTGCTGGTTTTGAAGAGTAATTAATGATGCTGATGATGGCAGTTGGCCCATAATTCCTTATCTACTCACTATAAAAGAGCCCCGTGAACAGGACATTTGTTCAGTGTATATGCACAAGTTTAAAGGACACCAGCTTAGAGTAAAGACTTAACGAGGCTGAAATACTTTATACCTCTTTTAAATATGCTGTTGGGCTGAACTTCACTGTCAAATACCAGCATGGATAAAGACAATAGAATGATCTTCCAGTCTGCAAACACACTAATTCTTCTGGATGTAAATCAAGTTATTCTTTATGTACCAATGCTCAGATACATTTATATTATCATATACACAAACATGTAGTGTTTTGTAAAAGAATGTTGTATGTTCTCCTGAAATTTGCATTCCCTGATCCATATGTAGATGTATAATTCGTGCTTATGTTAAATAATACCATAAGCAAATTGTGATTCAACTTGCATTAGAACATGTTAAAATGGATCAGTCTGTTTGTCTTTGAGATAGAGTCTC